CAAACAAAAAATGTTTTTAGGAAAAAAAGCCATTAAAACATCTGGACTGGAAAAAAAAATGGCAGCGGCACACATCCAATCCTAAATACTGTAATGCTTTGGAGACATGGTTTTGTTTTATAGTCAAATACATGCTGTCAAAGTAGACTTTTCCTTTCTTATACTGCACATTTTCACAATTATTTAAACTTAAGGTCCAGATACCTCCAACAGTAAGACGGAGGTCCACCTCAGACGTGGCATTTCCTGTGCTGGCCTCGGCGACACACTGATAACGGGCATCCTTGATCAGCGGCCCCTCTTTGAGCCAGCTGCTCACCAGTATCTCCCTCTGACCCACAGGCCAGTGGTACTGCGGTATGGGGGTGTCCAGACTGTGCCCATTTATTAGCCAGTGAATGTGGACATCACTGGGACCTGAAGGACAGAATCGGACTTCATGTTGACCCCTGATGGTCGAGACATGGGCACTCCACAAAATGAGAATACTTGCCTTTGGTAGGTCTATTTGTGGTGTTCAGTTTCAGTTCTAGAGGTTTGGCCGACTGCAACTTTATCCTACATTGAGTTTTGAACTAGTATTTACATTTTCAGCATACAGCTGTGTTTTTGTTTTTTCCATTACCATCACTAATGAGTACTCACCATTTAAAAATACAAGCAATGACTGAGGTTAAAACCAGCTAGTTAAACAAGCTAACATTTATTTAGCCTTCCTACCATGAGACAGTCACCTAAATTTATGTACATCTTCAAAGGTCATTTTCCACATATACAAATATATTTCCAGTTCTTTACAGGCACAAAAATGATCCAGAATAAGGACTGAGATGCAAGACATTTGATTCTGCTATAAAGAAGAGATTCTCAATGAACGAGGAGGAGCCACTTCTAAAGTCTACAGGCTTCATGTCAAACTGTTGTTAGACAGTAATACACAAAACTATCTTTCAATGACTTAGATTTGAAAACGGTGAGACAACCAGATCACTGAGAGGCTGACAGTTTAATATGAAATCCCAGATTTGTCTTTTTAAACATTCACTCATACAGGTTTCTTATGAGACACCTAGAACAGAGATCAACAGTTCTGCACAAATCAGATGTGTTAAAAGCAAAGCTCAGGCTTATGAACACACACTCCTGGTCAGTTTATGTGTGAGAAATGATGGCATGCAAGATGTAGGAAGGAGAAAGAATGAATGAGAAATAGTAGCACAGAGAAAATGGAGGATTAAAAAGTGTTAGAAGGATTTCCAAACCGAGCAACAGGAAAGTTCGGTTTTGGGGTGTGAGATGAGTCACAGGCACCACTCACCCAAAGCGAGGCAGAAGAGCAGGAAAAACTCCTGCGTATGAACCCCCCAGGCCTGGTCCTTCAGCAGGGGAGGCAACAGTCTCACCTTTGCCTCCCGAGCCTCCACACTATGGGGCTTGGTGGAGGAGGAGGAGGAGGAGAAAAAGGAAGAGGAGGAGGTGGAGGAAGGGAGAGCGCTACTTCCAGAAGACAGGGAGGATGAAGTATCGACAGAAGAGGAGGCTGTGAGGGGAGCAGTGATGGAAAAGAGTATTGAGGAAAACAGGAAATCTAAACAAGGGAAAAACATGCAAAACAGATGAATGGGAGACTAATGAAAAAGAACTAGGATTCAAAAACCAAATCTGCTGTAATAAATAAAATGAAAGAGGAAAAATGACAACTACTTACACAATAAACAAAGTGAAGCTCAATTTAAAAAATATTTTAAAAACTGCAAATTGTTTCCAGGGAAGTTTTAGCAACAGAAAACCTGATTATTATTAGTTGACACATCAAGGGTCAATTCACACTCTACAGATTTGTTGTTAATAATCCACATAGGGGGGAGGACTAGTCGAGGGGAATCAACAAGACCACAACAGACTGTATCCGTGTAGGAACGTTGACTTCATAGAGACGATAAAAATACATATACAGACTCAACTGTCATTTACGATGACTCTACACAAAACAGTGGTTTGATTTATTCCAGCATTTGTCTGCTTGCTTCTTTTTTTTCTGAGCTTCAAACCCTACACCTCACTGGGTGAGATTAAGGCCAACATACCAGGTGCAGCAGAACAAAACAACAAAGCAAGACAAATCTTCCCTGAGAAATTATTAGAATGGAAAAGTCCCAAGTCCAATGGCCTACACATTGCTTAAAAGAAAGATGCAAATGCTTTAAAGACATTATTTTCCACCCAGGCTGTAAAAAAACAAAACATGATTCCAATTTGGAAAACATCACAGTATCTTACCAATTTGGTAAACAATGTTTCCAGTTTGGAATTTAAGAAATAGCTTTACTTGCTGAACTAAGCTGAGCTTAGCTGCAGCTTCCATGAATATAGTTTTTGCTTCAAACAGGATTGAAATATCTACAGGCAAGTGGGATGCCTGACTTAAGCCCCATAATGATTAAACCTCATATGATGCTATACATCACATGCTTCCATATAGAGGAAGCCACTTAGACTTATACAGCAAGTTGTGGGAAGATGCAACAAGAAAGTGACCCCCTATAAATAGTCCCTTTGCTAAGAGAAACAGAAGCGTCTGGCTAGCAGTAAGGTTCATCTGCATCTGCAAACTGGATGGACTGGGATTCACAGTCCACATCAAAGGGTTTCTGCTGGGATGGGCTTTCGTCCCCAAGACTGTGAGAGAGGATCTGACCGTTGGCATACTCAGGTTCAGTCTCATACCCGGTGTCACGGAGCGCTCTGAGACTTTGGATGGTTTGGCTGTCGTTCTGAGTTGGTTGCTCCGTCATGTTAATTCTGTCTGTCGCAGATGCTTCCACCAGACCTGCTTCACAGGCCCGATACTCAGGCTGATGGGCGCTCTTGTGGTTGCCCAGCAGAGCAGCCCGGAGCCGCAGGCAGGGAGCCGGAAGATACTGCATGTAGCAGTTGTAGGCCATTGCAGCCAGGAAGAGGAGGAAAAACAGGAGGAAGAGAAACAGGAGAGCTGTGCTGTTGTTGTGCTGCAAATACTCAGCCGCTGGGTCCCCGTTGTCTGGGCGAGGAGCACTGGTGCTTGGCTGGTACTTGATTGTGTTGCTGAGGGGTGGGGTTAGTGATGAGTCAGTTTGGGGTGAGGAGGTGAAGAGGACTAGGGCTGTGAAGCTGGGAGGGGTATATGCTGAAGTTAGTGGGGCTCTGTCTGCCTTACCATTACCTTCAGCAGCATGTGTGCTAGCTGCCTCCTGGCTGCCGAGGGTGTGGCTCACACGGCCTGCCTGGTGCGGTGGTCTGGGTGGGAGATCCAGAGTCAGGACATATCCAGCCAGGAGGCGGCTGAAGTTCTTCCCAGCAGCAGGGGCCCATTCCACTGACCAGCACTCGTAGCGACCTTGATCCTCTGGAGCTACACTGTAAATGAGGAGACCATTTTCGCCTATGAGGTGGAAGCGAGAGGCCTCAGTGAGAGCTGAGCGGTTGAATTTCCACATAATCTGGGCTAGGTTCGACTGCACCAGGCACGGCAGCTCAACAGAGCTCCCTGGCTTCACTGTCATACGCTGGTAGTCCTTCAAGGGCAGACCTGGTCCTACAAGGCAAAGCAGAGAGAAAATAATGACTCTTGGATCGCTTTAGCCTAAAATCTTCAGGATATCCTGTTCAAAACAGATGCTGATGAGAGAAAAATCATAAAACATGATTCTGAAAATGGTTTTCTGGGGCTACTGTTGCTTTGAAAGTTATTTTGACCCAAGAAAATTTGCAAAAATTATCATGTAATGTGATAATAAGGCCGAGTACATAGAGAAATACATTGTTTCACCCAGCTCATCTAATGCAGATAATGGTCATCCCAGTTGATTTGAGGGTTTATCATATCCACTTGTCACCCAGCTACATGCACTCCGATTAATATGGTGGTGTCTTTATTACTGAGTAATTTGAAAAAGATCCAAACCAAAACAAACCTAAGACACTTGTGTCACAGAGTAAGCACAGATAATGCATGTTTTACTCTCACTGCCCATGATAAAGCCTCTTTATCATTCTTTATGGGAACATCCCTACCTGATGGACACTTGTCTGCATCACCATCCAGGCTCTGGATTAGCCTGCTGAGAAGAGAGACCAGCATGATTTTTATGAGATACACCCACTCTGACATGAAGACATACCTAGTCTGAGTCAGTAAAACAGGTCAGAGTGGATGGAGGATCAGTAAAGATGTCTCCTGATGGTGATTTTGCTTTGGTTAACCAGTGCAACAATGCATGAGCGGAGTACCGGTATGTAAAAAGAAGAGAGTGACAGGCATCTAAGCTTGATGGTGACATACCTAAGCCGATGGCTCCGAGCATCAAAGATATTAACACAGGCAGCAGTCTGATGGTCCCAGGCGCAGTAAGGGTCTCGTGCCAAGACACAGTCCACACAGGATGGATACCTGCCACAGAAGGCTGTGGGTGACTGGACTACGCCCGAGTCTGAACCAGCGTACAGGCAATGCGTCTGTGGAAGCATGAGGCTGTTCACATCAATATGCAAAGTGTGCAAACATACACATAAAAACCATTACAAAAACACAACTGAGTACATGAGTTTGATTATGTTTAAGGTCATAAAAATGAACTGTTAAATCATACATTAGACAAGTTTACCAATAAAAAGAAATCTGCAAAGCTAGTACATGCAAACGTTTTTATTCAAACTCCAGATAAACACATGCTACAGCCAAAAGAAATGTGCCATCTTGTCTGATTCAGAGGAACTGCTGGTTTTGCTCTTCTTGGCCACTTCCTACAGTTCCCCTTGTCAGAGCACACACTTGTCTAAGTGTTATAAAGCACATCTTCTATTTCTTGCACTGCACTCGTCTCTTTGTACAAAAGTCACTGACCTCCGAGGACAGCAGCAAGTTCTTGATGGGCTCAGAGTTCTTCAGGAGCTGGATCTCCTCCACAATATGAACTTCTCCTTCAAACACCACTGACTTGTGCAGGACTCCTTTATCTAAAAGGTAAGAATGTTAAAATGTCTATCAACCAGCCAAGGTAAACAGAGACTATTACACAGGTTGTACTGAATAATCAGACTCAACGAGCGATACACAACAGCCAAATGTGGTACATTTCAATCACAGGGTATCAACTATCTTAAGACTGATCCATTTCTGATAAACCGATTAACCTGTAACAGTGTTAACTGCTACGTTGTCACCTGTTCCAGTGAAAATGATGTCATAAGTGTTCCCATTGAGCGCTCGGACCCGCTCCACGACAATCTGAGTGTAGTTGACATCTTTGGCGATGAGGCGAGGCCCGTTACTGATGGGCAGGACGGGATCCTCCAGCAAGGGGTGGTCCTTTACAAACTGAAGGGTCTTGTCAGGCAGGTGGAGTGAGCTGCTAATGTTCTGCTGTCGCATCAGGCTGTTTATACACTGGTGGAAGACAAAGCCAGACAGGAGACATTACATGGTTTGTTACAATGGATATACAAATCCAATGTATGTGCAGTATCATGCCAGATGTTATGTTGTCAGTAAGTACAGATTGAGACTGGTTCTGGATGAAACCGATATTTAATTTGAAAAACTCTGAAGTAGAAATATGGGACTTTTTTGTTTCCCATTCATTGTTTTTTTTTTTTCAGGTCAGCATTGCAATTATGAAATTAAGAGTCTCTTAGCATTGGACCACACAAATGTTTCCACAAAACTGAGCACAGTCTTCATTATTGAAGCTGTATTTAAGGTACTTACAGTTCCAGGACGTGGAGATGGGGTGATGCCATTGTACCGCACCCACTTGGTGTGGGACTGTTCCACCGTAACCTTCTGCATGTACTTGCCCTTGGAGAAGACATCTTCCACCGCTGTCATGTTGTAGGCGCACACTGCTGACAAACCCACATTACCCCTAGGGGACGAGAATGATGAAGTACCGGAGGGAAAGAAGTGAATATTTCAGACCTGTATCATATTGCAATCTCCCACTTTTTCCCCTTTCCTGACCCCTACTGTTCCCCAGCTCAAGATCATGCAATCACTGACCACTGGGAGGTGAAGACGCCATAGATGACTGTGTCCCTCCAGTCTGCCCTCTTCAGGATGAAGACATCGTGCACTACATTGAAAACAAAGTTGAGCTCAGGCATAGAGCACACCAGCTTCGCTTTCAGGAACGAGGTCCATTTCTTCTGCAGGGTGCGCTGCCCACCAAGGTCACCCTGTGGTGGGATATTAGCCAGGGTAGGAAAAGGCAGGGGAAAGGGGTTAAAGAAAAGAGTGGTTTGTTTTCATTATACAATGATTTAAAGGCTGCACTTTTTAGTAAAATGTTCATTTCTGGTTCCAACTTGAGCTGTTTTAGTAAGGGTACCTTCTTGTAGCAAATTTGATTTGAAAAGCCTGGAACAGGGCACACGATTATTTGATTGCAAAGCAAAGTTACATGTAAGAGGTTATGTTCTTGTCCAACAAACAGGGCACTTGTATTTGCAATAAATAATGTAACTTACTAACTGGTTTTACCATGAAATTGGTTTAGATCAAGAAAAGAGATGAAAGAAGGATCTACAGAGAGAAAGGCATGCACACAGAGACAGCAGGAAGGCAAGATGTAAATGTGGACACTGTACAGGCGGCACATGATGTATGCTGACCTTACAGACACGCGCCACCCTGGGGATGAGCAGCTTGCCAAAGAATTCGTACTCCACGGACACCTCAGTGAAGAAGTAATAGATTTTGTCGTCTTCACCGTCTGCTTTGTTACTCCCCTCTCTGATCACATCGGCAAAAACAAAACTGGGCTCTGCAAAGGAAGCAGAGAGGGCAGAGAGAGAAGAAATGTGTGAAACCCTCTCTGAATTCCTGCAATTACACATAATTTAGAAACATCTATCATGCTTATAAACCAGACACTAAGGGCATCTCCTGATACTAAATTCAATCCAATATTTGTATTTGCTTAAATGATGACTAAATGTGTATCTAGACTAAAGAAAACCTTTAGTCTTTTTCCAGCTACTGAAGGTGCTTAAGGCTTAAATTATTGATATGATATTGGTACAGACAGACAGTGGCTTGCACACAGCACTTTAACCAGACAGCAGATAAGTTATGTTTTGTTCCAGCCACTGGTGACCTTTCACATTTTAACCAGTATAATCCAAGTGCATTTTGCTGATCTCGGTATCATTTTCACTCACATGAACAGCTGGATGTTTTAAATTGAATGTGTCACATGCTGCCCCAACTCACCATTAAGCCACGATGTAGAGTACTCTGTCCTCAGCAGGGAGTGGTGTGGAGAGTATCTGGAAATGATCGGTTCGCTGCCTAAAAAATTATAAGCTGTCCCTGAGTACAGCTCTCCATCTGACAGAAAAGCAAAGGAAACAATAGCTATTTATTATCCAGTTAATCCACTTTGACTCCCCAGAAAGACAGATTACTTATCATGCATTTTACTGCAGGGCTAGCAACCAAGAGAGCTCTGTGTGGAATGAGGAACAGCCGACTCACCAACCATGACAGTAGTAAAGCTCTGTGAGGGGTCGAAGGAGCACTTTCCTCTGCCATCTTCAGGCTGACCTTTCAGTGAGAAGTCAGCGAGGTTCTGAATGAGGAGATTCAATTTCAGTTAATGGTTGCTACATTAACCGGCTCAAACATGTTTATATGTGCAGTGTGATGCTCCCGGTAAAAGAGGAATCGAGCATTAACCTACCAAGTAGTCACACTGAGGTAGAAAGGCGTGTGTGCCGCAGACGTACAGCCGCTCATCATCTACAACTTGGAGTACTCTAATATAATTTAGACAATCCCGCTGGAATACAACAGTTCATAAACAAATTAAAATACATACCTTTAAACGTTTTTTTTTTATTTTTTAAATCATTCTGTATAAATTATTAAATTAAACTATTAACCAACCTCTCTTGATTTTCCTTTAAGTGTGCACATCTGAATGAGGGTGTCTTCAACTGTCCACTCAACCTTAAAATGGTTTACAAAATGAATTGATTTAAAATTTCACAATAATTTGTTTTTGCTTTTGTCACAAATCCTATTTGTGTTTTCATACCTTGTTGTTTCGCACTGTCACATTCTTCTTGCTGAGTTCAAAGATGGCGTCCCTCGCTCCCACATACAGCGCATCCCTTTTCTCACTCAGCAGCAACGTGGAGTAGTTGAAGATCCCCGGCTCAGAAAACTCCATCAGATCTAAATCTGAGTATAAAACAATTCACATTACTTCAGCATCCAAATGTGCCAAGTATAATTTATCAACATCTGCATTCAGCAGGGTTGAAAACTTGATTTAAAGCTGCTATGAATATGTCGATATTAGCAACAGATGAAATGACTGCATGTGATGTCTAAGAAGTCACTGGTAGCGACAACCCTACAAATAATTCATCCAGCTCCCCTCCGCTCTGTAGAGATTAACATCTCATTTAATAGCTCACTTTTTTGTCTTTGTTGTTTCCGTTCACAGCTGTTTTCAGCGGTAAAAGCCATAAAACAGACTGAATCTGCTCACCACAAAACAGCAGACACAGCAGAAGGCTTAGCAGTTAAACAGCCAGTTTCTTGCCTCAAGTGTTCAGCTCTCTCGCGCTGCCCACCAAGTGCCCAAAACAATGACAACAACAACAAACCAGTGCAGTTTTAGTTGCTCCTTGAGTTCATCAGCATCACACAAGTAAACACCAACAAAGTCAACAAAGGTGAACGATACAGTATAAAGGATAAGGCAACCCAAACAGCTTTGTTTATTATAGAAGCTGAACTCTGAAACCTAAACGTTTGAGACATGTTGCTGCATTTCTAATACAACACATTAGCATGATGTGAGTGTTTCTGCTCATGCTGTGTTGTGACTAATGTCAACCCTAGTGGACAGTTTGTGCACTCCAACAATGAAAGGAACCATCCTCACTGACAGAGCGAGTGCAACGACTGTGGCACAGTCGGTGGAGAATCTCTGTGAAAGCGTGAGTTGTCCTGGTTCTCACACAGAGACCAGTTTACTGTGGCTATTTATGTAAGTGGCAGTATGTAAACAACTTCCTTCTGACAGTAAGAGAGCTTGTGGTGAGACTGAGGGAAGTGTGTTGAGGTAAATTAAGGAAACACGTGTGACCATCTACCGTGAACTTTGAGAGTTGAAGAGTGTGAAGGTTCAGTTCTTTTTGCACTGGTAGTGGAGCAACCGAACTTTCACATTGTGCAAGCTCATGAATACCAAGTGAGTCTAACAACCATGACTTCCCAAATCAATTACTTTTAAACTTTGAACATGACTCAAGTTTCAATTTAAGTTAACAATGGGGTTTCTGAAGAACATTTACCAGAAATGATTTGCATTTCAAAGGAAGAAAGTTATTGTAAAAGGGACACAGACATAGAGGGTTGTTGTTAACAAAGAACCTTATTAATAATAGCTGGTTTCTTGAAACCAGTTGAATGGAGAAGGGAAAAAACAAAAATTTACCAAAGCTCAAATTGTCTTTAAATGGCTTATTTAGTTACACTTTTACTCAGTTATTCTCCTATTAGTAATAGTAACTTAGTAGTAGCAACTTGTACTGATAACTATGTCCCTCGTGTAACAATCAACCACTTGTCTCATTGCTTAGTGTTCCATACGTTAAACCTTACCTTGGTGTCTCCAGGAAGTTCGAGGCACACCGTGGGGTCCATGGGTGGACACCTCCAGGAGCAGCCCCAGAAAAACTCCCAGCACACCAAATCCCATATTAGACTCTGACAACTTTGGCACCGTGACGTTTCCTCTGTAAAGACACACACACAGGCAAAAGTAAAGCAACACGCAGCGACGTTATGCACAAAAAAAAAAAAAAAAAAAAAAGGCAAAACATTTTACAATATGAATGAGTTCCTCACTGGTGCCACTTCCCCATACTGAGAGCTGCAAGGGCTGATTCATCCTCTTTTGCATCACATCATGTCACATGCAGTCAGTAAAACATCTACGGGTTATAGACTGTTTGCCAATTTGTGTTCATTTTTTAATTAATGTGCTTTGTATGTTTGTTTTTAAGTGCACAATAGTCATCTATAAATCAAGAATCAGCAGTTATTGTACTAAAAAAAAAGAAAAAAAAAGAAACTCCCTAGTTTTCAGAAACAAACTTGTGCCATTTTCCTACTTTCATCCCAATGAATATCTAAAGTCTACCCATCTATAAATGACTGGTAGCATTAAGAACCGGTTCAAAAATATTAGAATTGAATAACAGGAAAACAGGTATGGCGTTCCAAAAGAGGAGAGAGAGGACGGTGAGGACGGTGAGGAGGAAGGCTGCAGCACATGTTGAGGATGTAGACAAGCAGAACAGCAGCTGCTTTTGTTTAAAAATACTTTACACCTGCAGCGGACGTGATACTCAGGCTTGGAGATGAATGTGTTTAAACTATCTGCAGTGAGAGATGACCTGAGTTTATTGTTGTGCGTTATGCAACGACCTAACCCCTCAGGCTTAAGGAAATCCTCCTTTCCACAGAAAGGTGTCATTCTGCACTGCTCTGCTGTCGAGACACTGCAACGGGAGTGCCACAGAAAGGTGTCATTCTGCACTGCTGCTCTGCTGTCAAGACACTGCAACGGGAGTATCCATCTGCCTCGGCTGATGATGACAACGATGACGCCAATGATGACAGCAGTCCTGATAGGCATCAGTTGCAGGTGTCATTTTCTATTTGCCAATTTTTAGAGTGCTGTGATCCTTCTGCCTGATAAGAGCTCTCTCCTGGCGCATTCACCTCAGGATGTGCATGATGGGCCCCAGGCTGTGCTGAAGCATTGAACTTACTGGCAACAACAAATTCATTAATCCAAAATACTGAGAAAATAGATGGTATTTGGTGGTGGCCAATGGCATTTTGGTTACTAAACAAATCATCTGTACTCAATCATATATTTTTTTATCTTAAAATGCATTTTTGAAAGAAAACCCTTCTTTCAAGAGTCTCTTTAGAGTGACAATGATTATTCGACCAATTATTTTGATAACTGGTTCATCATTTGTCATTTGTGAGGGTTTTTCTCCTTTCTTTCTCTGATGTGATGATTAATCAAATCAGATTAGGATTAAACTTTTTTTTTTATTTAAAATGGTTAATATCTTACATTTGAATAAGTCAGCAGTTTTAGGTCAGTAGAAAAGCTGGGGGGGTGGAGACAAGTAAAATATCAAATCTCTAAATCTGTTCTTAATCCCGCTGGTAATACAAGCAGGGTTTGCCAACTTTACTGCAGTGAAGAGCATATGCAAAATAATTTTGAGGTCAGTTTTCAAAACAGTCAACCAACTTCACGCTGATGTGGACAGAAGACCGATTACCTTCTCTGATTAGTCTGCAAACATTATTAAACACTGAAATATTATTATGAGAGCGATTACCTGACATAATTCAATTGTAAGGCTCAAGAGCTCAGTCATGTAAAAAGGAACAATGTTGGAGACACAACTCGAGCTTTGTACCTTCTCATGTTTCACACAGATGAATTTGGCTGTTATACTATTCAAGATTATTGTACTATAGATTGTTAACGTAAGCACTGAAGGTCAGTGTTATTGTAGTAAGCAGAAGGCAAGTGGGTCTGACTGGTCATGTGGCTTGTGTGCATTTGATTCTTCTAGGGGAGTCAAGTGATCTGGCAAAAAACTGGTTCTTCTGGTTTTCAACCTGAAGTATCCGCATCACGCTTCCACAAAACGGGTCGGCCGGTCACGAGAAGAAGGGGATCAAATGTTATCACGTCTTGTAAGATAAGGACTGAGATAACAAAACTTCCTCATTCACAGTAACCAAGACACAGTTTCACCATGTATGACTAACATGGATTTAAATCAGCATTCAAGCTCCAGAAAAGAACTGTGTTCACTCAGGGTGGAACTTAAACTGAATTAAAACTATCTAAGTACTATCCTGTTGTTTAGTGTTTTACTGCTGTGTCAGGTCACTTGTCCTCGTAGATTTTTTTTAAATCCAAAATTACAGAACAAATGATAAAGTGTCACAGGACAAATAAATCACTGTCAACCAGTTTTAATGACCCAGTAGCACCACTGTGGTTCACTGTATTCAAATATAGGTTAGCAATCGGTTACCCAGCCCCAGGGGGAGATAAGTCGTATGGTAGGCTCTTATAGGCGATCAATGAGGAACCACGGTGTGGGTTTGGGTGACAATTGATTAATTTAAGAATTAGATCAAATAGCCCCAGAGGTATGGCCCTCCTAACAGGGGGATTGTTGTTATTTGGGAGGATTTCCACCAACTAAATCTGATAAGATGGAATCCATCCCAGCTTCAGCCCTAGCCACTCTGCTAGAGGGGGGTCAGATACATAAGGACTTATTGTTTACTGAAGATGAGGGAAGCCTCCATTCCCCCGCACTCCACCCCCCGTCATCACAGCAGAGTAGTTAACAATGGACAGAGAGGGAAATAAAGGAGAGAGAACGGAGAATGAAGATGAGAGAAAGGCAGCACTTCTCCCTCCCGTCCAGTTCTTTCACAGTCGTGCCAACCTAAATGCCAGGACAGCTTAGCCATGAGGAAAGCCCTGAGCTAAGCCTGTATTTTTGAAGTTCACACAAATCCATGAACTCTGGAACAATATGATCCATAAACTGTCTGATGATGGCAGCAGAAACTGTGCCTGTTAAAGAGACACAGAGAGGAAGAAAGACATAGGCTATCTGAGATGAAGACCCAGACACGCACAATTTGTTTTTCTCCTTTGACAAAATTCCTCTACTGGCTCACTGTGAAAAACACTAGACTTGTCTATGCACTCCTGGTGCCCTCTATCAGTCTTACCACTCCGAGCCCCTTTAAGCGCCAAGAGTCAGTGTTACAATAGCAGAAAGACGAAACTGGCCGCTACCCTATGCTGCTGAGGGATTTAGAGGAGTGGCCATACTGGCCTGGGATATTTCAGATGGTTACCATGTTGATAGGTCTCTTTGGGCCCATTGTGTTCCCCTCTCAGCTCCTTTGGCTGAGCAGGAGGTTGACACCTGCTTGAGGCCGTGGGGTTCCCAGCAGTATGCTGTTAACTGGCCACAGATACTGGCTGGCTGCCTACTGAAGACAGGGGACAGAGAGAAGGAAACTGGAGCTTGGCTTATCTGTGCACTAGAACTTGGAATGTGCTCGTGCATATGAAAGAGAAATAAACAAAATCAACTTTATCTAAAAAGTAGCCAACCATTTTGACTGAAATTATCAAAAGCAAACCAGTCTGATCAGACCCAGAGTCCATTTCCCAGCAGGATGACTTGTCACATAGTACCACAGATCACTTGTCACTTCATTTCCAATGCAGCGAGTTCAGACAAGAAGCTTCACATCCTGTGAGCAGAGTATGGTGAGGGTACAGAGTGTGATGGAGGGTGATGTGAAGGAGCTGGACATTCAATGCCTGCCAACAGCTCCAACCCCACACTTTTCTTTCCCCTCAGTGGCTCTCTTTTCCATCTACTCACTCATTATCAGCATCACTGCAGAGATGCTCTTCTTCCTTTTGCTGTAGCACGCCAGGAGGCAGTTTTTTTTTTCCTGCATCTTTTGCAATAATACCAATGGGCCTAACCACACACAAGCAAACTGTGTAAAAGGAACCGTTCTTTAAGCAGTGAATCTTGTGGAAGGAATGTCTCTTTGGGCGGTTCAATATAAGATTTCCATACTCTACTGCTTTAAGTTGTTCGCCTTCCTCTTAGTAAAAGTAACTTCTGCCGTTGTCACCATTTTAGGTCTGTATCCAATTATACCCTTAACAGAAGCAAATGCTCTGTCTCGCTGATAGAACCTCACTGGGACAAGTACTGTCAAGTTAGTCTCTCTGTTTCCTCTGTACACAATCAGCTGTGGCACAGCACCACTGAAAGTTTCTACTGAAAAGTCTCATTGTTCATTAGTTTTCATGATAAAACATTAACCACCACAAGTTGCACACCAATCCGCGGTTGTAGCTGAAGCAAAAGAAAAACAACACAAAGTACATTATGCAGTTCTCAAACTTTGACACAGAGTTTTGGCTGATTTCACATCTGCTAATGTGCTAAAACTGGGTTCCGTCTCTCAGTTTCATCTGTGCATCTCTGCCTCAAATACTAACTTAAACACAAACTATCATAAAGCATGACTCCAATACAAACTACACACCACATTTACTTAGTTGTATGACTGCTGACTTAATCAGCAGGACCATCTGTACTGTACCCACCCAGCTGCTAGAACAATGATAATGCATCACCAGCAGCCTCTGATGATCAGAAGCTTTACTGAAGGTTTTCTCAGAGACCTGTCACATACCATTTCAATATAAGGCATAGTTGCATCCATGTTATTTAAGTAAATAATTCGATTGATTTGTCAGCAAACATGCACAAACTTTCTTTAGAATGCACATCTATGCTTCACATTGCCAAAAAGGAGACTTCAGTGTTTTCAGGACTATGTACTGTTGGTGTTTCTTCTTTCAATGCTAGAGCTTGGTCTCATTTTCTCCAGAGTTATTGCAGGTTATTTAGAGGCAGGCCTGTGTAAGAAAGTGAGCGAGCAAGAAAGAGAGAGCCCTCACATGAAACAAAATACTGAGACCACAGAGGATGACACACGGATGAGTACAGATGTCTGCTCCAGTGTCATTTACAGATTAATGGGGTTTGACTATAGATGTGGCAGAGCCTGTAGCATGCTCACATGCTCACATGTGTATACAATAATGCCAACTGTGGGCACCAAATGTCCCTTC